CTCGCAGGCTAACTAGCTCCGACAGGAATTTTGGCAGGGCTTCGGCGCAGAGGCTAGGGGGTACACGGTCGACGTCTGTGTCAGCGTTGAGTCCTCCTTTTACTCCTTTGTTTTCAGCGTCGAAAGGCAAGTCGTTGATTATCCTAACCTTGTGGGTAACGACCGCTCCCAACGGCGACACGCGCAGGTTTGGGATTTCATACGCCGCCGATTTTTGAATAACGAGGCATCTCTCTCTACGTACGTCCTCTGCGAGTTTTTTCCAAATGACTGGTAGGTGCTCGTCAGCCGACCGGTGGTTTCCGAAGTTCAGTGCGCCTGCAAGGTCGGCTTTGGACGGGGGGGCAAGCACTGGTACCCCTCCAGTAACGATTGTCATCAGCTCTTCGATCTGTGAAAACCTTTCAGGTCCCCGAAATATTGTCTGACGTGGTTCGGGTCTACCGGTGGTGTAACCAGGGTTCCGCCGAGCGACCGTGCTACCTTCCCTACCGAACCACGATTGTCTCGCATCATTTGCGTGCAAACCTCTGCTAGTTGATACAGAATTCGTTCTCTCTCTGGTTGTTCGAGGTTTGTTTTTCCGAGTGTTGCTCTGTCCTCGTGCCACCTCGCCACGTGTTTTCGCTGTGTTTCACTGCGCCCTTGGCCATTGGGAATCGATGATGACCCGACGTGGGGAGGGCTACGATAACGCAAGACTCGCTGTTCCGTGCTGTTGGTCGAGCGCAGTCCTACGGAGGTTGTGTATTGCGCTGGAGCTGGTGCGTGGGGGTGAAGTGTGCGTGGTGCGTGAGAGACGGTTGTCGTCGTAGTGCCGACCCTTGGACCTTTGCTGGTAGGGTGGGACTTCGAGGACAGGTCGCGTCTGACGCGTCAGGCGCGGTGACCGAAGTGAGAAGCGTCGATTGTGCTCGTCTGGTACACCTGCCTCGTGGGATTGTGTGCGAGACGGGTGATGCGTCGCCGCTGACGCGTTCAAGGCTGCTAGCGGCGTTGGAGACGTTGGCTGCAGCGCGTCTGACGCTGAAAACCCCGGGGGGCGTGTGAGAGGCGAGGCGAGCCCTGTGTCCGAAACGCCGACTTCTACGCGTTGTGGGAGAGACGAAAGTCTCCCTGTGTCCGACACACCTACGTCTGCGGGTTGTGTGGGAGACAGGTGACATGACATGTCTACCATTCTGGTCAGCGGTGATGCCCGTCGGCCTGCTTCGCGTGTTCGTGGCGGGATCTCGTCAATTCGTGTAGGAAAACGGTGGTTGTGTCAACATTTCGAGGGCGCCGGGCCTGGAGTGTGGGGACAACCTACTATCCGATCGTACAGGTGGGCGAGATTCGGCTACGTCGAGGTTTGTGGAGCTACCAGACGGGTTCGTGTGGTTAGTCCACCTATACCTTGCTGCGCGACCGTATATTGCTCAACTTGAGTTGCTCACCGTGAAACAGGGCCGGCGAAACCGACCCCGGCGTGGGCGCGTCCCGAGGCCCCACGGACCTGGCGACGTCGGCGAACCAGGTACCAGCGTGTCCTGACTCCCCTCCCGCACCTACTGTCGGCCCTGCCGTATGGCAGAGCCCAACCTGTCAGAAACCTCCCCTCCCCCCACCACCCCTCCCTCCGGCGCCGCGCCCCTGGTTCCCTCCTCCACCGACCCTGCCACCGTTGACCGTCATGCTGAAGTTGCCCACACTGGGCTGACGGAGTTGCGGCTGCTGCTGCTGCTGCTGCTGCTGCTGCTGCGATCGTAGCGGCTGCGGCGCCGCCACCTGCTGCGGCGGGGCCTGCGGGGGTGGCGGGACCTGCGGGGGTGGGGAAGCGGCGGAGGTTGCGGGGGAATGCCGCCGGCGGGTTGTTGCTGCTGCTGTGGCTGCTGCTGCTGTTGTGGCTGCTGCTGCTGCTGCTGCTGCTGCTGCTGCTGCTGCTGCTACTGCAGGATCTGTCCCTGCTGCGCCACCTGTTGGTGTAAGGCCGCCATTTGAGCTTGGTGAGCGTTCATGAACTGGGTGAGCATGGCCTGGATACCGCCGAGTGGGTTCGCGCCGGCACCCTCCTCTGGTCCGTTGTTTGCAGGGGGGGCGTCGCCGCCGTTGTGCTCGGCTGCCGGGGGAGCGGCTGCAGCTGCGGCTGCGTCGGCGGCTGCGACAGCGGCTGCGGCAGCGTTTACAGCGGCGGCAGCGTCTGCGGCGGCGGCGTTGGCTGCGGCGGCGTTGGCTACGGCGCCGTCGTACGCGGGTGCGGCTTCGGCCGCGGCTGCGTCTGCTGCTATCTTTGCCTGGACCGCATTTGCACTGATGGATCCATCAAGGCCCTAACTCCCACGCTCCTTCCTCTCGCTTCCTCAACTATTTGTTTGACTGCACTAGCGTTCTCTTCCCCGAGACGCGGGTGCACAAGAAGACTGAAGACTTTGCACGCAGGGGACGCTCAGCGCCCGTCCCCTGCTTCCTTTCGAATTCAACAACGCCTTCCACAAACAACGTTTTCCTTCTGAACGCTACATTTTTTCGCGCATGCCCTTGGGGGCTGTTTGGGGTGCTCAGTAGGATACTGATCTACGGGGCCTCCGGGGGTTACGTGGATGATGTTTGTGTATGATGGACATGATACGTGCGGGGCCCCTCGTGCCTCCGCAGTGCATGCCACTCTCTAATCAACCAAAGGTCTTGAGTCAACCTTCTTTCTCTTTCGGCCTCTGACGGGCTACCGCACCCAAACAGGGGCAGAGTGGTTATTTTCGCGCCCCCCCCACCCCCCCCCCCCCCCCGGGGTTTGCCACCGGGGTGGGGTTTTTGCCCCTGGGAAACAACTTTTAAAAAAAACACCCCCCCCCGGGGTTTGCCGCCGGGATGGGGTTTTTTTTCTCCCCTGGGAAACAACTTTAAAAAAAAACCCAATTCCTTTCGGGAACCCGGAAACCGGGTGGCCGTTTTTTGTTTTTTACCCCGGTTTTTTTTTTTTTGGGGAAACCAAAAGGGGGGCCAAGAAAATAAGGTGGGGGGGGGCCAAAAACCCCCCCCCCCGCCAAGGGGAAGAACCCCCCCCCGTGGGGTTAAAAGGGGAAACCACCCCCAAGGAGGTAAGTAAACCAGGGTTAAAAATGTCTCTGGGAAGGAAAACCCCCGGGAAAAAAATAAATCAAAAAAAACCCGCCGTTGGCCCGACCCCAAGGAGGAAACCCAAAAAGGCCAAAACCCCTTAGAGGGAGGCAGCCCCCCCTTCAGGGACTCCCCCAAAA